GAGCTGATTTAACATTTGAAGAAAATCAATCTCTATCTTTATCTCTTTCTTTCTCTTTCTTTCTCTTTCTCTTTTCTCTCTCTTTCTCTCTCTTTCTCTCTCTTTCTCTCTCTCTCTCTCTCTCTCTCTCTCTCTCTCTCTCTCTCTCTCTCCCTACCCCCCCCACGCCTCCGCTCAGACACACACACATACACACACCACCACCACCGCCACCACCATTACCTCCACATTCCCAAACCTCTGTGCCTCACCTTTCCTTCTGATGCTGGGGATGATACATGAAACCAGTCAAAGGCCACTTTCTTCACATGTGTATGATAGGGAACCCAAACAAATGGGCCACACTGCAGGTGTGATCTTTGACTGGGACTACATGGAAAGTGCATGACCCACCACAGGAGCTAAGATGGCCTCTGCTGGCCTTGTTCCTCCACAATGTTACTCCACCTCAGGTCAGCCCCACCCATCCTCTGATATGCTTAGCTGAGATCCCCCAGGCACCAGAGCCAGCAGGCCTATTCCCCTTATAACTTTTATCTGTGCTTAACAAGAGTTAGAGTGAAAATACCTTCATGCAAGTTACTCCATGCTTCAAGTTACTCCATGCTTTGAGTGACTCCCTCTCAAATAAATAAGTAAATAAAAAACAGGGCACAGAAAAAAAAATGACTACTGGAATACCACATTCTTTAAAAAGCAAACAAACAAACAAAAAAAAAAAACAGAACTTGAGAGGTCCCAACTATAATGGTTTTCTCAGCATGAAGACTGAACCCTACCAATTATGCTGCACAAGTTTACGCTTTCAACAGCATGAAGTTCCAAAGTTCGATTAGAGGCAGGCAAGAAAACAGTACAAAAATGGGCACGATATTTAAGACCTCATTCTCAATATAGAAAAGACAGAGAAAAAAGGCCCAAAGGGTAACCAGTCCTCATACTGGAATCCAGTTTTCCAATACAAGTCACTCCTCGGAGTTAGCGGCATTGCAAAGTTCTCCGGTACTGGTTGGCTTTAAATAAAATCATAAAAAGCAGGAGACCAGATGCAAAGACACGGGCCCCAAGGACTGAGACTCCACGATTCCTCCGCGTTCAAAGATGGCAGTTTCTCCTATAGCGTGGGCCTCTCCAACTTGCTTCTTCTCCTCCGCCCACTGCCCCCGAAACCAATTCAGGAACTCATACCCCGTGCCTTGTGGGAGAGCCCTGCTCTCCCAGTCAGATTGGAAACCGTCTTATAGGACCCGCGCCAGAAATCTCAAGTCAAGATTCTTGACACGTCCCTGAAGCTAAGGACCGGGTCATCAGAGGGGAGGGGCGGGGGACCCTGCTAATGATTAATCGGATGAGTGCTGCCAGAGCAGGGTGGGGGGCGGGGGGAGTCGAGCGCCTTGGTCCCTGGCGTGTGGATGGAACAGGAGAGTGCACCTTCAGTTACCCCTAGCATGATGCCAGTCAGCGTACCCCAGGGGAATGCCCCGAGTGACCTCAACAGGAGCAGCGGCTGGAGCGCCCCCTACTGTGGCGCCAGGACCAGAGGAGGTAAAATGAGAGGACAAGGGGAAGAGCCTGGGCGATCTGTGGAAAATCTGACTCTGCAGGGGTAGGCGGGGCGACCAGGGGTCTCCCGCTCATCCCCTCCCCAACCCCCACCGAGGGTCCAGGGTGGCCCTGTCTACGAGGCCCCACAGCTCCCGTAGGCCAGGGCAGCTGGCCGGCCGAGCCGCAGTGGGACGTGGCCTCGTTCTCTGCCAGCAGAGCTGGGGGCATTTACCGGGAATCTCAGGAACCGCCGCGTCTCCGCTCGGGTCTCCGCTGAGGTAGTGGGGCTGCCGCTGCCGCCGCCGCCGCCGCCTCCTTCCAGCCGTCGCAGTTGCACCCGCAACGCTCCTCGTTGCTCCCTGCGACTGTCTGGCGAGGCCAGCTGTCGAAAGGCTCGCGTCTCGAGCGCACGGAGCACACGAGTATCCTCGTTGTATCCAAGTCAGCGACGCAAGGGTGCGCCCGGAGCCAAAACCCCGTGCGCCCTTAGCCGTTGCTGCTTCCCAGATCCCGGCTGCAGACTCGCGGGTCTGCTCCGCTAGGTGGGCTCTTGCCCAGCCAATTGCCTCCCCTTGTGGGCTCCGCCCCACGCTGCATCCCTCAACTTGCCTGCTGGACCAATGGCAACAAAGGACTAGTCCCGCCCCTTCTATTCTCCTGAGGCCAATCGCTTTCTACCCGGGAGCCATTCAAGTAGCCCCGCCCCTCTCGTGCGGCAAAGCCGGAGCCAAAGTTTATCCCACTGCTCAATTGCTCCTGGCGATGGCTAGGCTTTGACTGGGTTACCCCATCCCCAACCCCGACACGAAGTTACAATGACTTAGAAGCTACAACTTACCTGGTCTGCCGATCCCCGTGCGACCTATTTCCGTTGAGCAAAACGAGTATAAACAAGCTGACGAAGAGGTACTGCTGTCCACCCTTAGGCAGGACTGCTGAGAAATATATACTGTTTGGCCAGAATTTACACATCGCAGGTCCAGAAGAACCTCAAAGGTCATCCGCTGACTCTATCCCCGTACTGGTTTTTTTTTGGGGGGGAGATTTTAGGGGTGGGCGTGTGTGCGCGCGCGCGTGCGCGTGTCCCATGTACAGGGTCCCTGCCCTCTAAGCTGGACAACTTCAGTGACTCACAGGCTTTTTGGCCCACGGCTTGGTTCTCTGCCTCATAATTTGAGGTTGAGTGAAACCGACCCCCTGGTAACTTCTGCCCTCTCGAGGCCAAGCAAAGCCAGCTTTGCTCCTCTTCCCATGGTGGTCCAACAATCTGAAGATAAATCTTCTGGCCCCATGGTTCTTCCAGGCTCTGTTACTCCAAAGACCTGGGTACAGGAATTTTTTTCCTTGCTGAGTGAAGGGAAGCAGAGTTTGCCACCTCAAGATATGCCAATTTTTGGCTATTGATTACTTTAAGCTGGTTATTTTTAAGAGATAAAAGACTCAAGAAGAACCTTTTACCTGTGTGAAGGAATCCAGATAGAAAATTCTGCTTATAGGAATGGAGCTATCACCTTAGCATGATATAAACTAAGTGTGGCAGACACAGAGGAACCTAGCAAACTTTGTTTGTAGACTCTCCCTTGTGTCTCATTGTTTCTGGAGGGCCTGGCAAGAATGTTTACCAAATGTTTGCTCTTTCTCATCTACCTGTGAATTGCCCACTTTCCCTTTGAAGTCTCAGACCCCTGCCTCCCGCTCCTTAGTCCAGACTGGTATATCAACCTCAACTGCCCAGTTTGTTCTGAGATCCCATATTCTTAGGGAACTCATATATGTACATACATAATAAATTTGATTATTCTCTTCTGTTAATCTGCCACATGTTAATTTGATTATTAGACCAGCCAAACAAACTTAGAAAAGTAGAAGGAAAATTATTTTTCCTCCCCCACCTGAGCATCATTAAATAATATTCAAACACATTCCATTAAGTTTGGTAATTGAAACGACTGGTTTGAATGCCAGAGGTTATGGCCCTTTTCCTTTATGTTTAGTTTAACTTACAAAAATCCAACTTGTCAAAGTGTTCTGTATGTGTGTGAGTATGTGTTTATTGTGTACGTGTGTGCTGGGTTCTTTTTTCTTTTTCTTTTTTTCTTTTTAAGATTAGGATAAATCAAACCAACACATTATACACCTCAAATTTACACAATGTTATTTGTTAATTATATCTTAAGGAAAAATATATAAGCAATAAGATCAGGATAGCAATTTGTACCATACCTTAGGCATTAAAGTTTCTGGATCTAGAGAGAGAACACACGAACAGAACTGTATGTTGTAAAAATGAATCAATTGGAATCGCACAATGACAGAACTTCAGTGTTAGAAGGGATTTTAAAGTTAATTTAATCAAAACCCACCCTAGATGCTTATAACTACTGCATGGGCAGTTTTTCAGGTTCTATACAAAGTTCTTAGCTCCCTGGCCTCTGAAAGAAGGCTTTGTTCTTCCTGTTAAGATACATGGCTCTATATGGCTAAGTGATTTGAGGGGCATCAAGAATGAGTCTTTGTCCAATTTTTTTCCTATCGGGTTAAATGTGTCTTCAGGACCTCTTCTTTCAAAATGAAAATCCCAAAAACAGAGGGAGGAAACCCTTTGACATCTCTCTTAGCAATATTTTTTTTTGACATGTCTCCTTGGGCAAGGGAAACAAAAGAAAAAATAAATGGGACTACATCAAACTAAAAAGTTTTTGCACAATGAAGAAAATCATCAGCAAAATGAAAAGACAATCTACTAAATAGGAGGAGATATTCATCAGTGTTACATCTGATAAGGGATTAATATCCAAACTCTATAAAGAATTCATACAACTTAACACTGAAAAAAAAAAACAAACAAACCTACAAACAATCCAATTAAAAAATGGGCAGAGAATCTAAAGAGACATTTCTCCAAAGAGGGCATGCAGATGGCCAATAGACATATGAACAGATGCTCAACATCACTAATCATCAGGAAAATGCAAATTAAAACCACAATGTGATATTACCTCACACCTGTCAAAATGGCTATCATCAATAAATCAACAAACAAGTGTTGGTGAGGATATGGAGAAAAGGAAACCCTCATGCACTGTTGGTGGGATTGTAAATTGGTGCAGCAACTATAGACAACAGTATGGAGGTTCTTCAAAAAACTAAAGAGAACTACCATATTACCCAGCAATTCACTTCTAGGTATTTATCCAAAGACATCCAAAACACTAATTAAAAAAGATATACGTAGCCGTATGTTCATTGCAGCATTATTTACAATAGCCAAGGTATAAAAGTAACATAAGCATCTGTCGATAGACAAATGAATAAAGAAGAGCTGGTACATATGCATAGTGGAATATTACTCAGCCATAAAAAAAATAAAATCTTGCCATTTGCGACAACATGAATAAACCTAAAGGCTATTATGCCTAATGAAATCAGTCAGACAGCAAAAGACAACTACCATATAATTTCACTTACATGTGAGATCTAAAAAATAAATAAATAAATAAATAAATAAATAAATAAATAAGCGAGCAACCAAAACAGAAATAAACTCATAGGAGAATAAATAATGAACAAACAGAAACAAACTCATAGATACAGAGAATAAATTAATGGTTGCCAGATGGGAGGGGGCTGGGGGATGGATGAAAAGGGCTAAAGGAATTAAGAAGTACGAAGTTGTACTTATAAAAATGGTCAAGGGGGCGTAAAGTATAGCACAGGGAATATAGTCAATAATATTATAATAACTATGTACAGTGCTAGAAGGGTACTAGACTTATCAGGGTGATCACTTTGTGAGTTATATAGATGTCCAATCACTATGCTGTACGCTTGAAGCTAATAAAATAGTGTATGCAAACTATAATTGAAAAAATTTAAAATATTATTAAATAACGTTACTTTTCAATTACAGTTGACATAGAATATTATATTAGTTTCAGGTGTACAACATAGTGATTAGACATCCATATAACTCACTAAGCGATCACCCCAATAAATCTAATATCCCTCTGACACCATAGTTGTTACAATATTATTTACTATATTCCTTATTCTGTACTTTCTATCTCCATGACTATTTTGTAATTATCAATTTGTACCTCTGATTCCCTTCCCCCTTTTTCACTGACCCCCCCAACACCCCTCCCATCTGGCAACCCTCAAAATGTTCCCTGTATCTATGAGTTTGTTCCATTTTTTTTTGTTGTTGTTAATTTTGTTCTTTATATTCCACATGTACATGAAATCATATGGCATTTGTCTTTATCTGATTTATTCCCCTCTGCACAATACTCTCTAGGTCCATCATGAAATATCTTTTTCCATCCCTTTACTTTTAGTCTGTATGTGTCTTTTAATCTGAAGTAAGTCTCTTATAGGCAGCATATGCAGGAGTCTTGCTTTCCTATTCACTCAGCCACCCTATCTTTTTGATTGGAGCACTTAATTCTTTTTCATTTGAACTACTTGTTGATAGATATGTCATTATTGCCATTTTTTATTCACATTTTTGATATGTATTTTTTTCTTCTTCTTTAATAAGTCCCTCCAACATTTCCTGTAATACTGGCTTGGTGGTGATGAACTCCTTTAGCTTTTTCTGGGAAACTCTTTATCTGTCCTTCTATTCTAAATGATAGCTTTGCTGGGTGGAATAATCTTGGTTATAGTTCCCTGCTTTTCATCACCTTGACTATTTTGTGCCAAGCCCTTCGGGCTTGCAAAGTTTCTGTTGAGAGATCAGTTGACAGTCTTATGGAGCTCCCTTATAGGTAATTAATTGTTTTTCTCTTGCTGCTTTTAAAATTCTCTCTTTGTCTTTAATTTTTAGCATTTCAATGATGACGTGTCTTGGTGTGAGCCTTTTTGGGTTCATCTTGTTTGGGACTCTCTGAACTTCCAGGATTGTATGTCTATTTCCGTCACAAGTTTAGGGAAGTTTTCTGTCATTATTTCTTCAAATAGGTTTTCAATTTCTGCTCTGTCTCTTCTCCTTCTGGTATCCCGATGATACAAATGTTGTTAAGCTTGATGTTGTCCCAGAGGCTCCTCAGACTATCTTCATTCATTTTGGGGGGGGGGCGGGGAATTCTTTTTTCTTGTTGCTATTCTGATTGGGTGTCCTCGGCTACCCCATCCTCTATGTCACCGATTCAATCCTCCATTTCATCTACTCTGTTGATTCCCTCTAATGTACTCTTCATCTCAGATATTCATCTTCATTTCTGACTGACTCCCTTTTATATTTTTCATCTCCATTTTTATGTTTTCTATCTCTTTTTAAAAGTCTTCGCTGACTTCTACTTTTCCCCTAAGTTCATTGAGCATCCTTGCAGTGTTTTGAACTCTGCATCTGATATATTGCTTGTCTCCATTTTGTTTAGCTCTTTTTCTAGAGCTTTGTTTTTTTTCTTGCACATGGGATATGCTTCTTTGTTTCCCCATTTTGTCTGCTTCCCTGTGTCTGTTTCTATGTATTAGGTATGGCTCCTAAGTCTCCTGGTTTTAGTAGAGTGAACTTACATATTAAGTGTCCTGTGGGTCCCAGTGGCACAGTCTTCCCTGGTCACCTGAGTGAGGTACTCAAGGTGTGTCCTTTGTGTGGGTTGTGTGTGCTCTCCTGTTGTAACTGAGCCTTGGTTGTTGTTTGCCTGTCAAGAGGAGGAATTGACTCTCAGGCCGATTGGTTGTGAGGATTGACCAATGAGGAGCAGATCCGACACAGCAGGATTGATTCGCTTTGACAGGGCTCTGATGCCTTCCCGCTCTGCCCTTCGGGTGTGTCCTCCTCAGATGCAGCCCTGGGTGGTGCTCTGGCTCCAGTCAAAGCTGGCTGCTGGGTGTGCTGGACCAAGGGCCTCCTGGGAAGGTTCCAGCTACAGACCAAGTCTAGCCACAGCCTGTGCACTTTCTGGAGCCACCTGGTAAGAGTCACCAAACAATCCACATATTGCTGCCACCTGTGCTGGGGTTATAGTCTCCTCGAGAAGCCACGCCAGGAAACAACACCGGCTGCTGTTAGTGCCGGGCTTGAGGCTGCTGAGCAC